ATAATATGTTTAATTAAACAATAACAATTTTTATTTAAAAGTTGGCTAGGTAGAGGCTATTTGGGGAATTTGTTAGCCTGAGGGAGGTCACAACTTTAAAAATAAAACTGGTAATTTTTGAGTCTTTTTGGACAAAAGTTGTCTTATACAGATAGCCCTTGATTTACGCTGCAGTACCGTTCATACAAAAGCCGGCGCAAATCAAATTGGCCTAAAACGAACCCATATTTACAGTGAGGTATAGGGTTAGGTTCTACATAAGTGAAAAATAAGCAAATAATTTTGTTTATTAATACAATATAATGCAAAATACATATAAATTTTTAATTTTTAAAATGTATTTTATCATAAAATAAAGTGAAATGTTTTTATTAAAAAATTTTAGTTTTGGATCTCTTACATTTTTCGGAAAAAAGTATCCATCTTTAATTGTTTACATTTTTGTTTTCTTTCATTGAGAATTTTGGAATATGGTCGAATGGATGCGATGATGTTTCTTTTTACATTTGCACTTCACTCCCAATCATTGTCTAACTCACAAAGTTCATCCGTCTAACTTTCCATAGTTGAAAGGATGCGTTAACCCAACATAGAGGTACGGATGAGCGGAGACACTGATTGGTTGACCACCGGTCGCCGTAGCACATGTATAAGGTCAGTTTGAGCGGGAAAATTAAAGGTGGCTAAGGAGGGAGAGATATCGTCTGGCTAATAAAAAAGTATTGTCTGGCCAACGAGAAGTAGATTTGTCTCACTAATGATAGTTTGTGATTGCCGGAAGTGCTACTGCGTTGTAAGGTGTTTTCCTAAACGAACTGATAAGGGATACATTCATTGGCGCTATGGATTTGGATGCCATTTATTGGACTATTAAGTTAACTTGAGATAACTTAAGATAACTTGACTCGTGGATACCTAAACATTTAGTGTTTTAATATTAATTTAATGCAAATGTATACATACCCAATAATATTAAACAGAAAAACTAAATATATTCAAAAAAATCTTTATTTTAACGAATGTACAATGTCGTGGCTTGGTGAATACATCAACACTGAAATGAAAATCAGTCTGGCATAGGGAAAATCAGGGAATTACACCCCGAAACGGCAAATTGCGTAGCGGCATTATTGTGAATCGGCATAAATTGAGCCGGTGTAAACTGATGGCTACCTGTATGTCATAAAATATGGTAATTATATAGATATTACATAATTTATACTAAAGGTAGGCAGTTATGAAGCTATCTTGTATTAAATTTAATGATTAGAAATAAACTAGTTAATTTAGACTACTCTTTTCCTTTCATTGAGAATTTTGGAATATGGTCAAATGGATGCGATGATGTTTCTTTTTACATTTGCACTTCACTCCCAATCATTGTCTAACTCACAAAGTTCATCCATCACAGAAGAAAAGGTTGATCTATTGTAGGACTTGAACTTTCAACTTCTGCTTACTATGAAGATGTGTTGCCATTTACACTATCCAGACCTCTGTCTGATCTTCACTTCCAGACTAATTTATGAATGACCTATATGGTAATATCTCATAAATTAATTAGTCTGGGTCCAGGTGGCATAATTACTGTCTGCATAGTAGACAAAAGTGGCAGCTTCAAGTCCCATTTCAGACTGAGCTTTCCTTTTAGAATAGTCTAAATTAAATTTATTTATTTGTAATTATTACATTTAATACAAGATTTGGTGGCATATAACTATCTATATTACTTAGTATCTGTATAATTAATTAATTTGGTTCTATGAGTTCTAAACTTCATTCAAGTATTAATTAAATGAAACAAGTTAGATAAAAATTAGTGTATCTTTTAGAAGCATGAAGACAGGACAGAATTATTTGAAACATCCTATTGTCAATATGTATGTATGTATATTAATATATTCAACATAATTTACATTTCAGGAACCATATATAAATATTATTTTAGAATACAATCAACAAAAAAGATACAGTGATGCCTGTTTACAACATTTTATGGCACAGTATACATTTATGAAACAAAGAAATGATGATGTATATTTATCATCTTTTAATTACATTGCAAAAAATTCAAAAGATAGAAATGAAGATTTTCAAGTGAATATTAATGATAATGAAATAAAATGTAAAAAAATGCACAAAATGAATTGTAATTGCTCAGTTTCAAAAATTGAGATTTCTAAACCAGCTGATTATTTTAAATCATTTCAAATGTTATTAAATGGTTTAAAAAACAGTAAATAAAATTGTTGTTATTACTTGTATTCATATGTTAATGATTTTCAGATATAATTATTCCAACTGATCTGTTTATCAGAAGTTTCATGTTATCCAAGGTAAATTGTGGATGAGTATACTTTGTCAACAAAGATAAAGGAACATAGTACAGAACAGTTCATTTCACAAATACTTGGCCAAGTGACATATGATACTATAAGAAAATATCAAAAATTTTAAAAAGAACTTACTGTTGTGACTTCACACAACAACACATTTTAAAAATTTTTATTGTATAATTTAGAAATTATGTTCAGTAAGTGGGTTTAATATAAAATTAGTGTATTGTATCTGTGCAAATTCAGTGTAATAATTTACTAAACATCTATTATCCAAGTTGTTAATCATCTGTGGTACTCTCAGTCTACTTTACTAGATAATTAAGACTCTACTGTAATTAAATGCTTTCATAATATTTCATAAAAGATTTTAAAGTATTTAAAAATTGATATCTGTTTTTAAAATTCTTTATTTAAACCTTCATGCTCACTATTTCTTGTATTTTCTAATCAACTACTCAAAACTGGATATACTTAATAAACCAAGTGAATGAAATTATTTCCAGCACAAATTTATAACAAAGCAGACATTTTTGACAGCATCTTCAAGCTAACTGACCTTCACAGCTATTAAAACAAGATAGTTGTCCACATGTTAAGAGGAGTGACATAGGGAAGAAAGGAGAGGGAGAGGATTGTAAGATTAAAGAATATAGAACAACTTGCACACAGGGAGTAAGGAATCTACATCTTGAAAGTTTATAGCAGCATTTTTTCTTGCAGCTTTGTAAATCTCTAACTACTTTCTTATAAATTTGTGCTGGAAATTGATTTTATTTGCTTGGTTTAGTTTTAATTTCTTTTTGTATATACCATATTTACTCGCATATAAGACAAAGTTTTTATTCATTTTTCACTGCTTCAAAAACCTAGGTCATCCTATACACACGAGCAAAGGATTTTTTGCATTTTTGCAATAATTTTTGTGAACCATGTACAGTAGAGCCTCAAAAACTTGGCCTAATGTGGACCGAAGGGTGGCCGAGTTTGTGAAAATGCCAGGTTATCGGGAATGGGGTTAAAAAAGGATAAGTATGCGTGTTTCCTCAGAAAATATTGTACTGTACTTGTATGTATTGTTTGCTTGAGAATACAACAGAGAATAAACTGCTCAAATACCCAAACAAAGGAAAAGTACATACTTTATGAAGGCATAGAACCTTTACTACATGAAAATGAAAATTAATGAATACACTGTGTACAGTAATTTACTTGATAAGACAGACCTCAGAAAAATACTTTATAAGGCATAAAGCTGTCTATAATGAAAATTAATTAACTAAGGATTTTTTTGCCCTGCCAGGGTGTGGCCGAGTTATCCGGAGTGCTGAGTTTTTGAGGCTCTACTGTATTTGCATTTTTTACCAGATGCTCACCCCTGGTGTTTAAGAAAAAAGTATTTTATCTGGGTCGTTTCAATCGTTCTTGTGTATTGTCAGGAGTAAAGATGAATAGCAATAGGAAAAGCAAAGCTTTTGAATTGAATTCCAAAATCACATGAGAGCCCGATATAAGTTTTAATCCAATCCCACGTGAAAACAGATGATTATTTGGAAATCAGAATTTGGAAAAACTCATAAGTGTAATTGACAGAAAGTGGATACAACTGTTAAGAATTGGCAAAAAAAGGTTCCCAATTGTCCAGCTTTACATGAACAAATTGTTGATTTTACAAGATTTTTCCTTAAAGTTTAAAATGGCAGTAATTTTTGCAGGACAATGTGCACATTTACATTAATTTGATATTTTACTTGTGATTAAACAAAATAAAATTAGAATTGTATTAATAAACCTAATTTTCTTTATTTTGATCTTTAAAGTCATGCCTCATCCTATATTCGAGATTGTCTTATACATGAGTAAATATGATAAGTTCTGTGTATTGTTTCTTTGTCAGATCAACAGAAAAAGAATAGATTATGATTATTTTTTGAATGAACACATTTGAAACAAAAAATTAAATCAATGATATATATTATGTAATTAACTTTTGTATTTGTCTAGAATAATAATTCATACAATTTTAAATTAAATCTGAATATACCAATATATGCTTTCATTTTAACAGTTCATAATAAGTTTACTGTATATTTCACAATTTCATTTACATATTCAGTATTACTGCATAATTATTAGTCTAGTTAAGCTGGAGTTAAATGATAAGTCAAATATTAAGAATTTAATGCCATTAATAATTTTTATTTTTCTAGTCATTAAATTGCTTAACCATTAATTTACTTCTGTTACATATATATATATAATATATATATATATATATATATATGTAACAGAAG